CATTAATAGATGAAGGGGAAAGTACAGAATGAGGTGATCTTAGGTCTAAAGATATATCTATGAAATGGCAATCTAATGAGTTAATATCTGGGTACGAAAGTGGGGAAGGCATATGGAGAAAGCCTGAGGGCCGCTGTCTGTGAAATGGATCTCTCTTCTAGCCTCAAGTATAGTGCTCTGGATATGGCAATTAATGCAAGCTGTTCCATAGACCAGATAAACAATGAATCAAAGCCAGACTAGTGGTATGAGAACTCATGCATGAGTAAGAGGCATTAGAGAGCATAGTTTCAATTATTATATTTGCTAGCTGCTCCACTTGTGAATTAGCCAGCTATGATAAATGTCATCATGCTGTTGTTTGCTCTGCATTTCTCAAAGTGAACTAAAAGACAACACAGACACAGTTTGGAACTGTGAATATTAATTACCAATAAAATTGCAGCAGTAATCTTTCTTCTCCCCACCTTTTATCCTCCCCCCCCCCAGCCCCCATTCTGCTGTGAGTGTTGATGTATGGCAGCACTCCTTACACTGTCAAAAAGCAAGGTGAGGGAGGGCTTTGGGATATTTATTAATTACAATATTCACAGAAGGAGAGACAAATGAAGGCTGAAGGCCCCAGGGATAGCATTTCCAGCCTAAAATTAGCAGGCAGCATTGGATGACTGGATCCCATAAAGCAAAACACAGTTGCATAAATTACACAAGTTAACTGCTGTCTTAAGGTCTTTCTGCTCTCCATTAGGCTTAGGGAAGCTTGTTCATGAAAAGTAGTAGCTGCAGACACTGATATGATATCTAGCAGTAAATAGAAAAAGGCTCACATTCCAATTTCAGTAAAGGAGTATAAATGAGGCCTCACTGCATTGCACCCAAGTCGGTTCAGTCACTGTATTAGAAATCTGTGAGAAAAAAATAGCCTTAGAGTGTTTTGATTTCTCTTACCAATTCACAGAATATAAACCCACCAGCTACAGAAAACAGTCAAGCAGCAGCTGCAACATCCACCTAGGTTATGTGCAAACCCAGCCATCATGCATTCCCCATGTCTGTGTTCTCCAGTGCACACAAGGAGAAACTTTGTGGAGCTCCCAGTGTAACAGAGACACAAATGCTGAAAGCTCCTCAATTTGAAGCTCTGTGCTGGACTTTTTTCCCAGAGGAATACTGATGTGTACATGACTTTGAAATTTGTGCAAAGGGCAATATCGTTTGACTGAGAATCACAAAATCACAGAATAATTTGGGTTGGAAGGGGCCTTAAAGATCATCTAGTTCCAATCCCACCTTCCACTAGACCATGTCCAACCTGAATCAGTTAGGGGCTTTGAAGATGCCTCTTTGGGGAAAAACTAAAAGTAAGAATAACAGTCACCAAACAATTTCAAATTAAATGAAAGACTTGGGGCCAGTGTAAACAAGTTTACCCTTAGTAAAGCAAATACTGGCTTCAGAGGAAGGTCCTGCCACTTCAGGCTTTAGAGAATGAAAGAGTTTGGTTACATCCTCCTGAACCCTTGCATTAGGGAACACCAGTAAAAGAATAGCATGACTAACATATCACAGGGATCAGCACTGCTCAGGCTGAGCTGGATGTATAAAATCCTGATTTTAATGAAAACAGCAGCAAAAAAGTAACTGGAGAATCAGGAACTCCATGAATCCCTCTATCAGAAGTAATCAGTGAAACACAGTGGCACAGACCTTGGTGGAGCAGAGGATGGTCTCCTAGATCAAAGCACAACAGCCTTCAGTACCACCACACAGTGATTTCAACTCAAAAGAACACTAGTCATGCTGATGAGTACAATTTCTTTCTTTCCAAATTGCTACCCTCTTCCATGTTGATTATTTGCATCTAAAATAATTGAAAAAATTGAAAAATGCATTTTAGCAAAGGATACCATCAGTTTTCATGGGTTTAGATCAGCCTCTGAGCTCAGATTAACTAGCATAAGAGTCCCAGAGCGCCTTCCATCTGAAATCAGATTCTCTCTGTGCGACGTCATTATTCCATTTGTTTCAGTTTTGGTGGATTGCTATGATAGCTAATCCTCTTCGTGCGCTTTATCTTCCTGGTGTTCCCAAAATAAAGTTTGATATTAAAGTTAGATGACAGGCAGTCTGGTCAGAAAGGCAATATTACCTTTGCAGTTCTGTTACGTATCCCTAGCTAATGAAAGTAGTGGTGGTGTGATTCTCACTGTCATTTGTGCAATATTCCAGTCAATAATAGTGTCTTGTTGAAATATGCATTAGAGCCCGTAACATTAGTGCAGTGGATACATTCCAACACTCCCCTCTGGTCTGGCTTCCACAAACAGATTTAAAATTACTGTCTAATTTGATCTTAATATTAACAGGAATATTACACAAACTTAAATGAGGATAGAAATTTCAGCTGAAAGCTACTTCCAACCAAACCCGTGCCCCCTGGTCTGCACACCCCAAAGCATTCTGGAAGGTTTCCATTCTCCATCTTGGTTCCATTGATTGCTCTTTTCTAAGCTTTTAGCAACAAATGATGCTTTCTTTTTCCCCATGAAAAAAACTTTCAAATCTGTTAGAGAAAACAAGGAATTATCTTGCTCAGGTTTGAGTCACAGTAATCTTGATTACTGCTCTGGCATTTCTTCGATCAAAGCACTAGGAAACTAATGAGACAACGTACAATACCGTAGATTAACTTGGTCACTTCCCTCTTTTTCCTTGTTGTTGATCGTGTCCTAATGAGCTGTTACAGAGAAGTCCACAAAGAAGCCTACTGATAAAGGTCACTTTATGTCTTCTCCGTTCATTAGCAATTGAGACACTATTAGGGGCTGTTGGAGTAACATCCAAACACCCCTTCTTGAGCTGTCCCATTACAGTCATTCCTGTAAAGCAGATGTATGTACAAATTTTTGGCAAAGCAGCTCCAGTCGGATCAGTCAGGATCTTCCTTACACAGTAACAAAGACCAAGCAGAGACTTGTGCCTGCATTGTTCTATTAAGTTTCCTCTTTCGTTTCCATATCACAGCACGCTCAGTCAAAGCTATTTTGGTGCTTCACTGATCAAACTGATTTTTCCCTTTGATGATAATATGAAATATGATAGGATAATAGCGTTGTTATATAATCAAAGTCGACAGCAGGGAGCTAAATTTGTGTTGTTTTGATGAAGAGCACATTAGTGTGACATAAATAGATTAATCTGATTTATTATTATTATTTCTAATGCTTAATAATAGGGAAGGGTAGGGGAAATGAGACTCTGGGGAATGAGAGTGCATAACAAAGTGATAGCAGGCGTTAGGATGTCTTGTCATAAGCAGCACCACTACTACTTGCTTTAGCTGAATTTCAAAATAGAGAGTAGAGAGCAAGAGAGGTTGTTGTGCAAGACTTAATGTCTTATGTGGAATAAAACTTCTGATGTACCAGAGAAAATGTACTCTGGAAAGCAGTGTTGTGGGAAGAAAACTGGTCTTCGTATGAAGACAGGCTGAGAACGCTGGGGCTTCTCCAGCTTTCTGCAGAAGAGAAGCTATGTGGGGATCTCAGAGCAGTTTTCAGTATCTGAAGGAGGCCTACAAGGATTCTGCAGAGGGACTCTTCATCAGGGACTGTAGTGGTAGGGCAATAAGAAGTCAGAGATAGAGCAGATAAAAATCAGCTCACCTTTCACTAGTGATTTTTCATGTGCAACTGAATAACTGGAATTAACCTTGGACAAAGGCTTCCCTTTCACAGTCTGTTCCAGTTCCAGACAGCCCAAGTCATTATTCACACATCAGCCAAGAACCACAAAAAGATAAAAGAAGCATATTTTGCCTGACGTACTGGTGTGTACACATGAGAGTTCTTTACGGCTGCACAAAGCAAAGTCCTGCAAAAGCTCATGCAAACGTCCAAATGCATGCAGTCTTCCAAAGGAAATGTCTTCCCACTTTAAAATGTTGTGTGTAACAAAAATATAGATTGGACAGAATTGTGGGTTCTTCAAGCAGAAAATAAAAAGAAACATATTTTAAAATCCTAAGGAATGCAGATACATCTTGGCAAAACACTGTCCCACATACACACTCATACAGATATCTACTCTGGCTCCTTCTTAACAACATATATGGGTTTCTTCAACAACATCTATAAACTTCAACTAAACTAAAGCAGAACTTTTACAAAGCCATTGAGTTTTAATGCAAAGACTGCAAGTAGAAGATGAACCATGACATGCCACGGTAAGTGTCTTCCCTACTTATACACCCCATGCATTAAAATTTACTCTTCATTCATGGTTCCAGAGGGAAGATTGTAGTAGAAAATCAGCTAGAGTATGTAACAGCTTTGAACGACTGGAGTTCAACATGATCTTTAGGACATTTAAAGATGATTTTTATATGCAGCAGAATTTTCCACTTACAGGACAAAAGGAAAAAGCTGACCAATGTTTTATAAGATAAAATTGTTGGTTTGGGTTTGTTTGGATGGCGTTTTTCCCCACAAAACTGTTTAAACTTTGCTAAAAGTCCCTTTACACAAGTTCTTCTTTGCAAGGCAGACAGAATTTCACTCAAGTTCTGCAAAACCCCAAAGTTTTTCTGCTTTTCTCCAGTGTCAGATACACCCAGCAGGTGTACATGATATTGATGTGCATATTCCAGGCATACTTTTTCTTATCTCCTTAGCAGGAATAGAAACCTACATTGATTTGCACTTCTGGAATGCCACAAGCAAAAACTGCGGTCGTGAATCTGGACAGCACTGTGAACCCCATGGGCCACTCTTGAAAGAAACCAGCTTCTAGGTGGCAATCACTGAGCTGGTTTAACACATCCTGAAGCTGTTTTTCTAGATATGCTTGCTTCAATACTTCTGCTGTCAGCCTTAGAACATGGTGCCAGCAGCAGAGCATTAATGCACCCAGCATGCTCTCCTACTGTATTCAGGGAAGTTATCCTCACATGTTAGGCTGAAAAAGTCAATCCTCATCCATCCTCATTAAGAATCTCTCCTACTGTATTCAGGGAAGTTATCCTCACATGTTAGGCTGAAAAAAGTCAATCCTCATCCATCCTCATTAAGAATCCTAAGATATTTCTTCACTAATCTTAATGGAGATTTTCATACCACCGGATTGTATAATCCCAAAGGAAGCTGCATAGGAGAGCCAAAGACATGGATATCTGCTTTTCATCTACTTGTTGAAGCACGGATATGGAAATTAGAACATGAACATATTTGATATACCAAATAATTTAAAGCCAGGGAGAAGAGAACAGAGGAGGAATTGAAATTTCCTATTTCTCCCTATTAAATTCTCTTTATAGAAGCCTCTTTGAAAGGGTATCAACATCCATCAGCACACAGAGCTCAGAGCTGGGGCTTGTACAGAAACATACCATCTAGCTTTAATGGGGAAAAAAAAAGGGATTATTGCTTTTACACTGAGAGCACAGAATGGTAGAATCAGCAGGAGGTGATTAGTGCCAAAAAAGGATGTGTTTTGTATGGCGAATTAACACGAAAGGCAGTTTAAAAGATAGGATTAAATCAGAGACAAAGGTGGAGGTTTATAAAACTCCCAGTCCTACCCCTGTCAAATGAAAGATAAATCTCCCAAAGCACTAAATCCCATGTAATCATTGCAAATTCCTATTATCTTAAAAGGGAGCTGGTTTAGGCCTCTAATTCAGTCCTGTAAAGTCTGTTTGGTCCAGATGAACAGCCGAGAGATGGACAATCTCCAAGGAACAACTCTATGACATGGTCTCAACATCCTTCGCTACAATTTGCCAATGAATCACTCCCAACATTACCCTCCAAACACTGGAGTAAAACTGCTTTTGTCCATCACTGCTAAATGCATTTTGCCTTTCTACCTAGCAAAAAACCAGTATCACATCTTATCTCACAAGTTCCCAGTGAGCCAAACACAAGATACTGTCCCTTGAATTCTTCCTGAGACCAACAAAGGCTTTCCATTATTTACAAATCAAAAGCATTTAGAGACAATCATCTTTATTTTTTTTTTAAAACAAGGAAATGCCCTGTCACTATTATATAAGAAAAAATATACATCCACCTATTTATACCCATCCTAATCCAAGCATTCAAAAAAAAATATAATTCCTATTCATGCAGGTATTTGCTGCACAAAATAATAATAATAATAATAATAAAAAAAATAATAATAATAAATTTATAAATAAAATTAAAATAACAAAATACACTCTTTGGTTCCAACAATTCTCCCAATTTCTCTTAAAAATTGTTGGAACGGTTGAAAACGATAAAAGGAAATCTAGTTAAATCAATAGGATTATTTGCTTTTGATTATTAATTCCGTTGCTAGTTTTTCTTGTGTTTTTATTATGCATACCAGTTTTACAAAGTGCATGCTTTATTTATTTATTTTTTTTTTTAATTTTGAACTGGCAAGCTAAAATGATCCATCTTTTCCTGCCTTTTTTTTTTAATTAATGTTAATACAATCTAAAATCTAGCATTAAAAAATTTACCATGATACACCTGGTATATTGACTGCTTATGGCGCATGCTTGTCTTGGCAAAAAAGAAATGAACCAAATTTGCTCCCCTCCCACCCTCCCCGTTCCTTCTGGAAGCAATCTAAAAGTTAAAAGCAGACTGGAACACAATTGCCTCAAGGGAAAAAATAACCCAAAATAATACCTGATGCTTTGATTTTTGTCGCATGGCACTAGTCGTGGAATTCCACGCACACGCACGCACACCCAACACGCACACAAGCACACAACCTGCTCGTGAGGAAAAGAGTTTATTAGGTCAAGAGTGCCAATGGCACATGAAGGCTCCCAGCTGTGTGTGCAACTTTGGATTTGGTACCCACTTCACGTCACCTTGAATCCTCTGACATCCACCGAGGGGGTAATGTAAGGCATACTTTGCTGGAACGGTAATAATCCATGCTTCATGCTCAAGAGCTGAGTCTCAGAGGAGGACTGGCTTTCTCTACTCCCTTCAGCCTCACTCCGTCTCACTCAAGGAACAAAAAAACCCCAAAACAATGGAGAAGAACTGGGGGGAAACAAGGAAAGCAAAAGAAGACAAATCCCTTTAAATGGACTTTCGCCTTTTCATCAGCCTGTGGTTATCTGTAAAGCTGTGCAACCCAGGTGAGATGGAGCTGACAGGAGATGGGAAAAGGCTGTTTTTTAATGTGCTTGGCGAGATCTCCTCTATCTTGTAAGAGATGGAGTGAAAGTACTGGGGGTTCAGCTTTGAGCTGAATGAATTTTGGTGGGACACCACCCGGCTGGTGTACTCATGGGACCTGTAACACATGCAGGAACAAACTGACTGAAGGTCTGTTACTTCGGCCTTGTATCGTGGCCGACCATGCTGGGAGTCGTCTTGGATGTGGATAATCATGCTGTTGCGGTTTCCTGCCAGGGACGCCCGTTCCTCAGCATCCCGCCTCTCGTCCTCGCTGTTCATGGTCAAGAACCTGAGAACAACCAGATTTAGAAATGCCCCAATGACTGTCAACCCCACTAGAATGTACATAAAGCTAAAAGCCACATAGAGAGGCTTCTTTTGAAGGGCCCCTTTGGTCTGCAGGGCCACATAGTCTCCAAAACCTATGGTAGTCAATGTTATAAAGCAATAATAGTAAGCATGGAAAAAGCTCCACTCCTCATACTGGGAAAAAGCTGCTGCTCCAATGCAGAGTGTTCCCATGCAGGAGAAGAAACCCACAGTAACCATGTTTTCCATGGAGACCTCGGTGCTCCTCATCCCACAGCACTTTTTGATGCGTTTCAAGAGGTACTTGACAAAGGTGTTCATGCGCTCGCCCAAGCTCTGGAACATGACGAGTGTCAGTGGGATCCCCAGGACTGCGTAGAACATGCAAAAGGCCTTCCCTGCATCCGTCCCTGGGGCAGCGTGTCCATAACCTGGGAATGAAAAGATAGGACAGTCAGCAAGGCAGATCATGGCCACAAGTCCCCCTTTGTGCCAGCCACGTGAATCACAGAGTTTGATGCCACAGCCAGATCCAAAGCTACAGGAACACTGCAGTCACACAGCCTTTCTATCTCCTTGACTGTGTCCTGTATCCAAAGCAAGTAAGACACAGAGAACCGCTGTACACACAGGAGTGGGAAAGATGAAAGGATGGACAAGCCATCCTACTTCAAGTAACTGTGCAGTCTCCTAAACAAGACTGTATTGAATTCATTCACTAAAGAAATGTCACGTCCATCCTTTAATACATACAGAAGTGGAAACTTTGGAAATAGATAGACACTTCAACAGTGTTTTCTGAGAGGAGTTGGTGTTGCCGTATCCCAAACCCAGAGTACACTTATGGCAGCATGGAATTAACAATATTAACACACCCACCAATGAAAGAAATTCCTTTTCAGACTCTTCCAGGCTGAACAAACCTTTCTGCCAGACACCCTATGAAAGCCACCCTCTTCTGCAACACTGTAAGATTCCATGCCGGCCCTCTTTAATTACTGACGAATAAACAACTTACAAGCTTGCTTTGTAGTTTCACAGCTTTTACAGTTAATGTGGCAAAGGTAATTTCATCTAATCCAGGACAGCATAGTTTACAGAAGGTAATATCACAGCTAAGCCTTTATTCTAAATCAAACCATAAAGAGGGCGGGGGGTGTTTTGAAATTCTAAGTTCACTTTTTCATATCACACTGCTTTAAAACTCTACATTTCTTACAGCTGAGAATCTAAGTGACAGTACCAAAGTCTCCAAAACGGGATAGCTGGGACCCACCTGGCCATGGTGTACATTGACAATGTAGGTACCAGTATCCAGACTCTCCTTGAAGTTAATGAATAGGAACATGCACTTCTGCACATGCAACAGCTGCAGTTCCCCTCATCTATACCTAGGTCAATGAGTTGTTCTTAGGAGACACCTATTTCTCTACAGTCATTATAACAGAAATCCTGGGACAGAACTCAGTCCAGGATTAATACATCTAAATTTTTGCATCTACGTGTGTGCTAGGTGTCCAAGCTCCCATTACAGTCAACAAAGATTTAATGAAAGCAGGTAGTAGTGAGTTATTTAACTGATCACCCCAAGTCTACCTTATGGCAAGATGAAATGACACTGCAGACTGCTCCATTGACCATATTCATTGAGTCCCCATTAGTGTGGCTAAATATCTGTTAATTGAAGAAGAATTTAGACACCTACTACACAAGTAGACAGCCATATGCAAACAGCCAAATGCAGGCATCTTAATCATGAGTAGAACTCCAGTGCAATGTAGGTGTCTGCATTGTGGACACAAAGGGTTTAAATTAGCAGCATCTACTAAGCATTTGAGACCTCTGAGATATCAGGATATCCAGATGAAACACAGGGCATACAGCAGACCCACACTCTTACAAATCAGATGCTGGAGGTCAGACAGCACCTTAGATACTACTGAGGCAGGATCATTCCCTTCGTACTGCCTCAGTCCTACTCCTCACCTTTAGACCCATGTAATGAATCTGCTTCTCTATCTGACCCTTTCTATGAAACTTCTGACACTGCCCACCTCCTCAGTCTCCTGTGGCAACAGATTACAGAAATTCACTACCTGCATCATGTAGAGCAATGTCCTTGTTTCAGCTAGTGCTTTTTAGCCTTAGTATCAGAGTTCTACATCTGCCTTCAGCTAAACTCAGTTTTACCTCCGCTCTCAGTTTTCTCCTTTCTGAACTGGAGCCACAGGCTTTTTAGCTCATATAGCAGAATTCCCTTGGTCATTTCAATGTCCTTCTCTGGACCTCCTTTAGCTCTATTGCATCATTTTTGAGGTGCAGAAGCCAGAACCCTGCACAGCCCTCAGGATGTGAGTACAGCATGGAGTCTGCAGTTCTGTTAGTACAAAAATATGAACACCATTCAACCTTCAAAATGGAAATCAACAGTGGATAAGGAAAATAAAATGAGAAAATGAGCAATAATGCCCTCCAAGAAGCAGCAGGCATTTCTTCAGCTCAGTTGCTAGTTGTTAGCAGATGGATGGTGACAAGGTCTAGTGTGAGACATCCCTGCCCATGGCAGGGGGTTTGAACAGGATGATCTTAAGGTCCTTTCAAACCCTAACTATTCTATGATTCTATTATTCTATGTAAAAAGCACAAAAGCAGCACATTACTGAATATAGAAAGTTCTTTTTAGGTTACAAAACAAAGGGATTCACCTGTTGTATCGGGCTAGGTAGCCTGTTCATCATAAAAAGCAGTTTTCCAAATTACCTGGAAAGTGAAATGTCTTGAATAGATTGATGCAGGGTTTGTTCCACCTGATTGTCCCTCAGTAAAGGCTATAATTGCCTCTCATTACTAAGATCAGCTTTTGAACTACAGGGGTGTTAATTAAACCAGGGACATCTTCCCATTTTATAGCTTTAGTTACAGCTGATAAAGAGAAGGAAAGCTTCGGAAAATGTGATTTTCCAGATGGTTGCAGGGATGGCAGTTGGTGGAAACAACTTTCACTTTGGGTTCTAAAGAAAATGGCTGGGGTGAAAAAAGCTTCCTCTCTATATTGCTATATCCCTCTCACTAAATATATCCACAGAGGCAGTTTAGGGAAATTATAAAACATTAATGCTTAAACACTATCTCACAACTGCATTTCTAAAATTTGCCACAGACTTCAGAATTAACTTGGGACTCACAGCTCTCCCATAAGACAGCAACATACCCAATTCCCTGCTTTACAGACAGGAAAGCACAGGCACCAGCAGGCTATAACTCACAGGGGTAGATAGAATATCCAGAAGTTCTGATTTCTATTCTGTCCCATGTCATACTCACTTTCCACAATATCAGACTGCAAAATACAAAAATGTATTTTACCATATTTTCACCATGAAGCTGGGGTAAAGGAAGGACTTTATTAATGAAGATGGAATAAAACTCTGCAAATAGATTCATGTATAGGGGAACAGAGTCATATATTTCTCCAGTACAATATGGCTTTAAGGAATAGGCACCTTAGCCATTTCCTCCTACACTGGAATGACGGGTTTCAAAACACACTAGACAAAGACTTAACTCTCCATTACTTTAGCATTACAGAATCTGTCCAGCAATACAGAGCAATGCATGAAAAGCAAACTCCAGCACTGCACGTTCTCTGAAATTCAGTAAATTTCAAATTTAAAATGAAACACTGTCTTTTCAACATCAAAGACTGCCTCTGGGAAACATGAGGACATCAGTCATTGCCAGAGAAGAAGGGCACAGAGGATCATTAATGCCAGAATCAGTCTCCAAGTAGCTGGGCTTTACTTGTCTGAAGTAAAGGCAGAAGCAGAAACCACTTGGTAGCAGATTTCAGCTAGCAAAATTCAGCCCAGCTTCCTCTACATGAATGTTTCTGCCCTTTACCAGAATATAAAGAGATGACGCCATGTGAACCATAAGAAACACATGGTTCACAGAAGAAACACAAGGCTCAAAGAGAAGTAGAAAGGTTAAGCATGATATTGGCATTTCTCACACTTCTGTGGTGAAGAAGAAAGATGAGAAGACCTTAAAATTAGGTATAGCAAATGCATCCCCTAACAAGCCATGTGGCTGTGATAACAATGAGAAAGGTACAGATGAAGCTTTACACTGCACCACACCTAGGTAAGTACTACCTATACTACTTCACTATACTAACCAGTTTGCTGAGCTCCCACAATAAAGTAATGGAACCACAGCAGGCAGATTTCTCTGATATTTAATGAGACATAATCTGATTGATCAAGGACAATCTAAATAACTTTCACCTTGATTGGAAGTGATGTCATTAGCACTCTCTCTTTCATAATAACACCCAGCTGCTTAGGCTTTCAAGACAAAGCTCATCTGGGCTGCCACCAAGAATGGTTCAGCATGAAGAAATTCCCTGTCTCAGACTGTTACTCCAATTCTGGACTGCAGAGCACCAATGCACCACAAAAGCTGTCTCCTCCTGATTACAGAAGGGCTGGGCTACACATATCAAGCAGAACTTGCAGGCAAGGAGGCAAGGGAGGCAAAGGGTCAGACTGTAAGGAGTTGCACACCGAATGTGTAGTCTGTTAAAGTCTTCACTGCCCTTGATCTTTCCAGACCTTGTCCATTGTCAGGTGGAAAACTCTCAAAGACCACATGCTTCTATATGCAATTCTAGAAAGAAAGAATACTATTTTCCTGTTTGCCAGAGTGTAGTCTGGGAAAAACCTACTCAACCCCCTTCAAAGCTTATTTTTCCATGGTTTCTTTCAGATGAGACACAGAGGGAAACTCTTTATAGATTCTACGTGAGATCCATTCAGGAGGACAATCCAAATATCTCTCACTTCTAAAAGGACATTGTGCTGGGGTACCAGGCCACAACCCTAGCATGCAGTGGAACACAGCGCACATGAATCATTCCCTGTTTCCCTTCTTTGTGTCACTCATGGTTTTAGAGACATTTTATCAACAAAAATGCCATGCCTGCATTCAGACTCTAAGCAAGTATCTCTGGCACTGTATAGCCTCATGTGGACAGACCAGCCTGTTTAGATCTACATCAGTGATCTTTGCACCACGCTCAGCTGCAGCGTACAGACAGGCCCGTAACGTCTGACTTGTCCTCCAACACAAATTCTCTTGAATAACACTTTGCTTCTGGGGAAAAAGAGTCTCAACAAACACTTCCATACCACTGCAATGACACAGATTGCCCAGAATAAGTAGATCTATGATAAAAATTAAAACATTATGGGAAAAAATCCTTTCACTGTACTACATCTACATGGAACCAACTACAATACTGTAAGGCGATAGCTACTCTAGGAAAGTAAACTGGGACAAGGGATGGATTCCACCACCAACCCATGAGTGTCCACACTTACATCATTAGCACAGTTTGTGTCATGGCTTTACACTGGACCAATCAGCACTG